GACTGGAGTGAGATGAAATCTTACAGTAGATTTGATTTGCATTTCTCTAGTTACTAGTAATGTTGAACCTTTTTTCATATATTTGTTGATTGATTGTATGTCATCTTCAGCGAAGTGTCTGTTAAGTTCCTTGGTGTCAGAGTCCAGCTCCAGCAGGGGGTCTCAGGAGATGAATGGATGGTGAGGAGTCTGCGAAAGGTGGTGGAGAAACAACACAGACAAAAAAGTGAAGGTGCTGAATCCCAATCTTTACTTTGAAGTTAATCATATATACTTTTCATTTTGGCAGGCTCACAGTGTTTTGTGGTTACAAAACAGGAATCGTTATTCAAAGAAACAAAATATTACGTAGCTACAATTAGATAAGAAGAATGTCTTTTGGTTTATGCATAAGCAAGCATTTTTACTTTCAGTTCGCGTTTTGCTTTAAGCTGTTTCCGCTTAGTTAGCTTTTAATAATAGTTAGAAATGTCCCAGACTATTGGCCTATACCTTGACTATTCTTTCTTGACTTACTGACTAGAATCGGCACCACGGTTATGGCAAGTGGTTAACTTGAAAAGAGAGACTACTAATTTTAATCAAACAAGAGTAAGAGCACCAAACCATTGTGCACAGGAACAAGAACAAGTTGCCTAGTACCAAGCACTAATCTGTCTTCTCAATATTAATTTTTCTTCTCTAGATTTTAATTTAATTTCTCAAAAACTTTCTTGACTGTTTTTCCTACAGGGGGTTTCTCATTAAACATTAACAATTTACGTTCCACTGCTGAATCATTGCATTTAGAGCAATCAGATTTATTCTTTAGAAGTAGTTGCATTAATTGGGAAAGTCATGTTTTTTCCTTCATACTTAATGGTCATATGAGAAGTCACAACTATACTTATTAAAAGAATACAAAAACAAACCAACCCATTCCCGGAAACATACTGCGCTCCTCCAGAGGATGGACGCCTTGTACCATCCACCTCAGTAGGGCCTTGCCATTGCATGAGTCAGGGGAAGGGCATAGCACCTTGGCCCATTTATTGACTGGGTTATTTGGTTTCTTTGGTTTTAATATTTGGTGTTCTTTATATACCCCAGAGGCTAGTGCTCTATCTGATGTACATGAAGTAAAAATTTGCTCACATTCTGTAGGCTCTCTATTTACCTTGGTAATTGTTTCTTTTGCTAAGAAACTTTTCAGTTTGAATCCATTCCATTTATTGATTCTTGATTTTAATTCTTGTGCTATAGGACTCTTATTAAGGAAGTCAGGCCCTAATTGGACAGGATGGATATTTGGACCTTTTTTTTCCTCCTAATAGGTGCAGCATCTCTGGTTTATTTCCTAGTTTCTTGATCCACTTTGAGTAGAGTTGTGTGCATGGTGAGAGATAGGGGTTTAATTTTATTTTGTTGCATATGGATTTCCAGTTTTCCCAGCACCATTTGTTGAAGAGACTATCTTTTCCCCAATGTATATTTTGGAGCTTTTGTCTAATATAAGAAAACTGTAGTTATGTGGGTTTGTTTCTGTGTCCTCTGTTCTGTACCATTGGTCTACCAGTCTGTTTTGGTGCCAATCCCATGCTGTTTTTGTTACTATTGCTTTGTAGTATAGTTTAAGGTCTGGTATAGTGATGCCACCTGCTTCACTCTTCCTACTAAGAATTGCTTTAGCTATTCTGGGTCTCTTATTTTTCCAGATGAATTTCATGACTGATTTTTCTGTTTCTATGAGGAATGTCTTTGGGATTTTGATTGTCATTGCATTAAATCTGTATAGTGCTTTTGGTAGTATAGCCATTTTCACAATATTAATTCTGCCTATTCAAGAACAAGGGAGATCTTTCCATCTTCTAAAGTCTTCTTTAATTTCTTTCTTAGTGTTCTCTAATTTTTACTGTAGAGGCCTTTCACCTTTATCATTAAGTTGATTCCCAAGTATTTTCTTATGTTATTGTAAATGGGGTAGCATTCCTGGTTATGGAACCAACATTTGACATAGCTATTCCTCTCCTCGGACTATACCCAAAGGACTTAAAAACAGCACACTACAGGGACACAGCTACATCAATGTTTATAGCAGCACAATTCACAACAGCCAATCCCCCCAAAAAACAAATGCTGAATGTTTTCTCTGATTTAAGGATGCTGATTCATAATGAGGCTGGGGGACATTGGAGGATTAGATGAATTCTAGATAGGGCAAAGGGAAGGGGAATGGGGGTAGGAAAGATGGTGGAATGAGATGGACATCATTACTCCAAGTACATGTATGAAGACATGATTGGTGTGACTCTGATTTTTGTAGAACCAGAGATATGAAAAATTGTGCTCTATATGTGTAATATGAATTGTAATGCATTCTGCTGTCATATATAACAAATTAAAATTTAAAAATAAATTAAAAATGTTGGGAGTTAACAGTGATGAGAAGTTTACCAAAATAATGAGGGTCTTTAAAAATGAGAAAGCTTTAAACAAGAAGCATTATAATTTTTATCAGGCCACGTATTAAGAAGTTTGGAAACTTGAGTTACAACAACAGATGTTGCTTCAAAGGCTGGAATTATTGACAAAGGAAATAGTGACTGCAAAAGGCCAATAACCTGAATTGTTAGTACCACATGGATTATAAAATCTTATTTTCCTTGATTTTATTGTATAAAATATTAAGGAAGGAAAACAAAGGATTAATGCCCCAAAATTAAATTAAAGCCTAGAAATTAATGAGTTTGAAACAAAAGCACAAACACTTTATTTAATCAAGGGCAGTTAAAAATTACTAATTTGCCTTGAACTCTTCTGGTTTGTTTAAAAGAGTTTCATGATCATCTTTGGAAAACTTTATAGTGGTTAATTAAGGAATAAATGTAGATTTTTTTCTTTCCAATTAAAGTTAATAAACAAAACCAAAAACATTCTAGAAACTCCAAACAAAAACAGACAAACAAAAGCAAGCCTCTATAAGAAAAAAGAGAGAAGTCAAGCCAGTAAGCAAATATTTAAAAAGAACAAAATTAAATGCATATCGAAACATAACCAAATATTAGCTGGATCAAAAAATGTATATGAGTTATATACTCCAATGAATGGACGTTTGCTCTGTGCTGCTTGTAATTTCTCCCTCTAAAATAAAAATATTTGGAAATATTGGCAAATAAAAAGTCAAGAGAGTAATCTTAGTAGTAGATAAAGCAGAATTTAAGGCAATAGCATTAAATGCTATGAAGCAGGTCATTTTGATCAAAAGATGTTAAAATCAGCAGTAAAGATAAAAATACTTTGAACCCCTCATATACACAATAATATAGTGTAACTGTTAGATAAGGTGAACATGTTTTATATTCAGATTGTTTAGAAAAATTTAATGTGAGATTTTTAACTACTATGACAGAGTAATTGGACATAAATTATTAAGTATGTGATTAATTTCAACATCATTAGAAATAAATGAAAGAAAAGAAAATTAAAAAGTGATACCTTTTTCTGTCAAGTAAGCAAAAGATTTTTGAAAATATAATAACAAATATTAACAAGTATGTGTTGGGATGAACCCTTTCATGCGGGAATAGATACACTTTATGATAAAATTAGGTTTGTCAGATTTTTAAGAGCCTTAGTATTAGCCTTAGTATTTTCACCTCTTTGAGACAAACTTGGAAAAAAGAGGATTTATGCTCATCAATTGCAGAATTATTTGAATTTTTAAAAAGTAAACAAAGTATTTATTAACAGAATAATGGTTAGATAAATTATTTTGTCACATATTAAAATGGCATATTTGAGAATATATAATTTTTTGAAGAATGCTTAAGAAGACAGGAAAAGGAAAAATATTTATTTTTACAAAATAAAAATGATTAAACACGATTCATTAAATAGAACAGTCCAATTTGTGGTAAAAAATAAAATTCATAATTATGTCAAAATGGATTTTACTTTCATATATAACCAAAAAGAATGAATAAAAATAAATGTGGTTAAAGTAAAAAAAAAAAAAAAAACCTGTGGTATATATACAAAATGGAATATTTCCCAGCCTTACAGAAGTATGAAATCATGGCATTTTCAGGTAAATGGATGCAAGTGGAGAATATTATGCTAAGTGAAATTAGCCAATCCCAAAAAAGCAAAGGCCAAATATTTTTCTCTGATATTTGAATACCAATTCACAATGGGGGCGAATAGAGTTATTTTGGACTAGACAGAGGGGAGTGAAGGGAAGGGAAGGGGCATGGTGATAGAAATTATACTACAATGAATTGGACATTATTACCCTATGTGCATATATGATTACATGACCTGTGTAAACTCTACATCATGAACAACCAGACGAATGAGAAGTTATACTCAATTTATGTATAATGTGTCAAAATGCATTCTGTTGTCATGTATAGCTAATTAGAGCAAATTAAAACAAACAAACCATCAAAAATTATGACTGTGTCCTTATTGGTAGTAGCTATTCCTGGTAGCCACTGGAATCATTGATACTTCAAATGCTCCAGGGCTCTGGCATATTGAATGCTATACAGCAGTTTTGCTGAAAAAGGTAGAATTAACAGAACAGGGCTTACCTGAGCTTCTAAGTCTTGATTAAGAAAACTTGAGAACCTGCACCATTCATTGGATGCGGGGCATGTCAATCTTCACTTCTCAGCAAGTGAGCTTTGGGTGCTCCAGAAGGAAGTGACTCTTTCTCGAACCCCCCCATGCTCCGCCCCCATGACCAGCATATCAGAAACTTTCCCGCCTTGTCTCAAGACGCAGCTGCAGTGGGTCGCTTCCCCAGGCTACTTCTTACACTTCCTGTCAGTCACAGGACCTGCACAGGCGCAGTCTCAGTGCCTCTCTGGCACCACCCCCACCTCCCAGCATGCTCTGTAGCTGAAATATTCCCCGCCCCTCACAACACACCCCTGGGTGGAAGCCATCTTCCCTGACATCCTGGTAGCAGCCAGGTTGCCACTCTCTGTGGAAGTCTTTGCTGACCTGTCTCTCAGGCCATGTCTGACACCAACAAACAAGACATGGTCCCAGACAACCAGAGTGAAGCTGATGAAGAGGCAGGCCTGGACCCTGGGTCCCTAGGCACTCCCTTGGTGCCTGTGGAATGGTTAGCTGCAGTGGCAGGAGTTGCAGCCCTTTTGGCTTTCCAGGTGGTTGTGAAAGCTTTTGAGGAGGAGCGTGAGGAGAAAGTGGTCTGGCCCGCCACGCCAGAGAACAAGAACATACAGCTTCTAGAGGAGGAGGAGGAGGAGGAGGAGGAGTTGATGGCAGAACACTACCAGGAATTGGAGGACGACGATTATGATGATGGTGGCGAGGAAGAGGAAGGAGATGATGAGGAAGACGATGGCGGGCGTGAGGAGAACGAAGAGGGTGCAGCAGCTGCTGGTGTCTGTGAGTTTCCTGTGGTGTTCCAGTCCCAGCTCTCCTTCCCTTCTCCACAGTAGCTTCTATAATGACCTCATCCTGGTGGGGCCCCACACTGGCCTCGTGGTGACCAGGCGCCACCTCGTGGGACCCCAGGGAGCTGGTAGAGGAGCCCGTGGGTTGGGAGTGGGGAGGACCTGGCAGTCGGAGCCAAGGCCTGTGGAGAGCAATAGCTGGCAAAGGGGGTCCTGGGTGGCAGAGGACCCTGCAGACAGGACAGCATCCCAGAGGGCTGAGGACGTGGTAGTAGACGACAGGGTCTAAGAGGGCGGTGCCTGGCCTATGGCTCGGCATGGCTATGGTTTGAGTCTAGGGAGGCAGCGGCCTGTGCGCCCAAGGGGGCCAAGGTTGCTGAGTAGCAGCAAAGTCCTCCGGCCCTTGCAGCCTCTGTTGGCCTGGCTGGCTCACTCACAGGCTATGCTCAGATCTTGCCTGCCTGGGTAAGCAGTGGGTCGATATTCTCAAAAAAAAAAAAAAAAAAAAAAAAAAAAGGAAGAAAGAAAAGAAAAAGAAACCCAATCCAAGAAAGACTTTCTAGTTTTGAGAATCTCAACTGTGCTTTCTACCAACCTCAGTTTGATAAAAGATCTGAGACAATGCAGTGTATGAGCCTGCAAACTTGAACGTCAGTGATTAGTAGATATATCAGGAAAGACCTTTGAAAGGAATGGAAAGCGCCTGAAGGCAAAGGACAAACAAGTGGACAAGTGGCATTCCTCACTTGTGGTTGATAGCTTTAAAAAAAATGTGAGGTTTCTTGGTGGGATGATTCAAAAATATTTTAAAAAGTGAACCAATATTAGAGAACTTCACAGGTGTAAACATTCTCTTTTCATGGTTTGAGGAACCAGTGAGCTTCACCATAGAATTTGTTTTAAGTCTAATGAACCTTTTTTCAAGAAAGTTCTGTCAAAAAGCATAATGTGATCAGGTGTAGGTGATTCTTTTCCTTCTCCCAGGTGTCTGAAATAATCAGCAGCACTGGGTGTGGAATGGAAAAGGGTAGGAGGGATATCACCTTGAAAACTATCAAGCAGAAGAAATGTGAGGGTCATGGAAGTATTATATTAGCCAGTAGAAATTAACCCAGATATTTATTTCCTTTATATATTTCTTTTATCCAGATTTTTCTGAGGGTAGAATACTGAGTGCCGAAACCATGTATAAGCTGGGATATTATTTCCATGACATTGTGGTCCCTAAGTCTCTATCATTGCTGGCTGATGTAGCAACTGCATATAGCTATGAAATTTCTGATGAAGAGTCTGAAGAATATGGAGTTGAGGAAGACCAAGAGGAAGTGGGTGAAAATGAAGAACTCGAAGAAGGACCCAAGAAGAATCTGGACTCAGGAGGTGGCAACTTCTCTTAAAAATCCAGGTATCGGTTTATAGTCTTTAGCATTAACTAACCATTCCTGATATTCATCTGTTAGTTCTGGTTTTATGTTTTACAATTTTCATTGTATGCTAAATCAAACATTGCTACCATTTAGTTTAAAATGTTCATGTTAATAATGTGCTTATAAATTATATTAACAGAAGGAAATATATACTGGAATGTAATTCATTCCCAGATACACACTCTTTATCCTATACCTACAAATACAGATGTAAAAGTTATCAGACCTTGTAATTGAGAGTAGTGGAGGAATGTGACCAGACAAAGCAGCTAACATGCTGGGCCGTGTACTATCTAGCTTTTTATCACTTGGCCATAGAAAGGTAGTCTCTTATACCAATGTTACCTATGAGAGGGTTGATTGATTGTTGACAAAGTGAAAAAAAAATGTTAAGGATGGTAAGACGGACCACATTTTATGACTGATACATAAATACCATTTCAGTTTAGTTTTCAGAAAATATTCAAAAAAGAAACTTAGTAAGAATATTATTTATTATGAATCAGAAATTAAATCTTATATTCCCTGTGTATTTTTTCCCTTTCTAAATTTTTATCTCTGTGGACATCAGAAAATTCCTCATTCTCATTTTGCATATATGAAAACTGAGGATCTGGGAATTTAAGGGAACATATATAGTTTGTGTAAAGAGCACAGGCAGAAAGAGTTAAGTAGGTCATAGAGCGTTCTTTTATGAGAAGAAAAAAGCATTTTTTTCAGTATGTAAGAGGGCAAGGAGGTTGATGTGATCAAGTGATTAAAGCCATCAAAGGCCTGAGCACCCTCACATCTAAAGTTCTGTTTACAAGAGGAAGTATTTGGTTTCTGCTCACTGAGACAACAGACAATACATACCATTCACTCAGATTTTGACTCATATTTAGAAAGTATGTGTTAATGGCATACAAATGTTAATTGTCTTTGGTTCATTTTACAGTTGGAAAGCATAGAAAGAAATGGATGGAGAAAGACACAACGAATATGGTCTTCATGAATTTTCTACTTTTCATTCATCTAGAACACTTATTTTTCCCCAAACTTTATCACATAAAAAAAGACATTAACTGATATTTGTCTTTATGCTGATATTTTGATTATATATTTGATGCATGTGTTCTGTTAAAAATAAAAGCTTGTTTGAAATGCATAAGCTGCACATTATTTATGCAAATAACTGATTCAAATCTAACTTTTATATCTTTTCTGTTTTGACCCACCTTGCTGTCACTAAAATGAATTCGTTTCTATTCTGCAGCAAGCCTGTTTTAAATTATTTTATTATAACCAAAAACAGTCTAATATTTAAAGTTATAAACAATTTGTGTAATGAAAAAGATGAAGGTCTAGCCCCTGCTTCATTTTCTTGGGGTGGGGGGGAAATGCATGTCCTAACTTGCCAGGAGACCAAATGTACCAATGGGCTGCTGTTTACCAGAAGCATCAACAGAAGCTGGAAACTTATTAGAAATGCTAATTGTTGAGCTGCACTGAAGACCTACTGAATCAGGTTCTTAAAGCCGACTAGCAATCAGCATTTTCAAGTCCTCAAAGTATCCCTAATCATATGAAACTTGAGAAACAGTGGTTTAATGCAATGACAGAAAAAAAAAAACCACTAAATTTCCCCCACAGTAGGAGAAGCCTTAATTCACTGACTTGGTATATGCCGTAGTTTTTATCTTGAATGTACCCAAAGGTCCATGTATTGAAGGTTAGTTCCCTAGCTCATGGCACTCTTGGGAATTGATGGAACCTTTAAGAGACAGGGTCTGGTCACAGGTTTGATGTCATGCCCGTAAAGGGGATATTGACACCCCAGCTTCTTCCTGGTTTTCTCTTTGCCTCCTAGATGTCATAAGGTGAGAAGTTAACTACCTACATGTTCCTGCCACAATTTACTGCGTCCTCACAGGCCCAAAAGCAATGGACCTAGCAATCAGTACTATAAGCCTCTAAAGTAGGGGCCAACAAAAACCTTTCCTCCTTAAAAGATGATTTATCTCAGGTATTTTGTCACATTAATGGAAAACTAATTAACAATCTGGTGGCAAGTAAACTGAACAGGACAGAAAAGTCTAGACTGTGCAAGAGACTTGAAATTTAGGGTCCTGATACACAAAGTTTTTGGGGGGAATGTGTTCACTTCCTGGGCAGGCATAACAAATTATCACAAATTAGGTGACTTAAAACAACATGTCATTCTCACAGTTCTGGAAGCTATATAGTCTGAAATAAGTATGTTGACAGAGTTGGTTTCTTCTGGCAGCTGTGAGAGAATCTGTTCCATGCCTCTTTCCTAGATTCTGGAAGCTGTCATCAATTTTCAGCATCCCCTAGATTCCAAGTGCATGACTATAATCTTTTTCCATCTTCACCTAGTGTTATCCCTTTTTTCTATTGTTTATTAGGAGTCATACAGGGTTAAGAGCATTCTGTAATCCACTATGTCTCCATTATAATGTGATTACATGTACAAACACTCTATTTCCAAATAAGGTCACAATTGTAGTTTCTGGGGGTTAGGACTGCAACACATTTCTATGGGAGACACAATTTAACTCATAATAAGGGGAAAAGATGGGGGTGGCAGTTAAATATTTATAGGAAGGAAAAAACTAGTGATATAAAATAAACATTTTTGAGAACATGTAGCTGAATTAAAACAAACAATAACTTGATTATGAATCCATATATTTGTAGTGAAAAACATTTCTATAGTTGATGTATATATATATATATATATATGTGTCATACAGAAAGACATTTATGAGGAAGATAAATACCTTAGGACAGTAGTTAAATATTGTGGAAAGAAATGGAGAACTTAACTGGATTACAAGGCTTCAACTCTTTGTAATCTTATGTTCTTAAGTTTGGTGGTGGTTGTATGGATGTAGTATACCCTATGAACTTGTGTAGGTCTGAATATTTCATAAAATAAAATAAAAGGAGGAAATGGGCCTAATATTTGGAACCTGTTTAAGGAAAATAAAATGATATAGTTGACCAGAGTGGAGGATCAGAGAAGGAGTGGGCCAGGTGTTTAAAGGTAGAAGGCTTGCTTTCTATATTTAGTTAAGGCTGCCTAGATACCTGATAATTAGTACCAATACAGTTTTCTGTGTTCTCGGGTACTGGGCATCTCATATCCTAGTGTATATTAACATTATTTTTATTTATGTTTGTCTATCTCCCAACAACCTATAGGGTGAATTAATAATTTTATAGATGGCTATCCTTAATCAGCCACACTGTATTTTCTTTTTTAAAAAAATATTTTTATTTACATGTGGGCAAAATATCTTTATTTTATATATTTATTTTTATGTGGTGCTGAGGATCAAACCCAGTGCCTCATGCATGCTAGGCGAGTGCTCTACAACTGAGCCACAACCCCAGCCCCACACTGCATTTTCTATGCAGTAGCTGCTTGATAAAAGTGTGTTGAAGCAAAGTTAAAGTAATGCATCCCTAATCCACTTTTGTCACTAGTGTTGGTATTTAATAAAATGTTATCAGGTAGCAAAACAGAAGTGCTCCCAGAACAACAACAAAAAAGTCACCACACCTTTCATCACCATTGTTTAAAATGAAAGGGCAGTCCCCCCCTCAAGTCAGAATTTATCCATGCAGTGTCATCTGAAGGGACTTGAATTGATTCTATTTGTATATCCCTTCTTTCTTTATCTCTCTGATTTAATATGCACACATATATATGTATATATGCACACACATATATTTAAAATTTTCTCTATTAGAGGCCCTATGTGGGTCCAAGAATCTTATGGGGTAGTAAGGTTTGAATATGACTCTTATAAAATTCATAGGTGTTGCCAGTGTGACGGCACTAAGAGGTGAGCCTTTTAATAGGTGATTAGGCTAAGAATATTCTTCCCTCATGAATGAGGAGTTTGATGGGGGGAGTCAGTTCTCTCTTCCCCTTCTGTCTTCTATCATGTAAAGAAGATCCAGGAAGAAAGCTCCCACCAGATGCCTTTCCCTGATCTTAGATTTCCCAGTACCTAAAACTATAAGGAAATAAGTTTGTGTTCTGAAAGAATTACCCATTCTCAGTTATTCTGTTAGAGAAGCACAAAATGGACTATGACATTGAGTTCCACTCCATTAGACAAAAAGGACATATGTAATTTTCTTTAAAATAAGTCCATGGGTTTCTGCTGAGACTTCTTAGGGACAAAACTATTAAAGTTGTTAGTATGCCTGTGTCAATTCACCTAAAGTTATTTGAGATACTACACCAGATATTTTAAGGCCAAAACAAAGGATTTTATAATCACATCATTAGCCTCATCTTTACACCATGTTTTCTTATAAGGGTTCTGAATATGATCTTTTCAATAGATGCCCTTTCATAACTCTAGTGTCCTTTGCCATCTGGGGACACCAGGGATTTTCAAAGTAGCAAGTTCTGACTCCTTTTTATAATAGCTAAAGTTTGCTTATCAGTTTAACTTTATTTTTTAGTATTTTACTATAAAGAGAAAAAATCCAAGCATCATCATCAACATCCTGTTTGTAAGTCCTTTATTATATTACCTATTTCATAAGTACATTTTTTACCCCACATATCACTGTACAAAATAGAAAGTTATCCCTCTCCTCCAGTTTCCAATAACATTTTCCTCAATTCTACTTTAGCTTTCATAGGTAACTTTCACATAAATCATCAGGTTTCTGCTAATATTCTGCTCTAAGCATCTTTGACTTTCATTAATGCTCTCTTAAACTTCTTCCAACTTCAGCCCTCTGCCCAGTTTCAAAGTTATTCCACATTTTACATTTTTATTAGTGCAGCACTCTACTCTTGGTGCCAAATGTCTATTTTAATTTTAATTGTTTACTTGCATAACAAATAAGCCCCCAAATGGAGTGGCTAAAAACTATAATTAATATCTCACACTATCAATTGTTCAGGAATTCAAGGTGCCTTAGCTAGGTGGTTCCATCTT